TGAGCAAACCGAGATGCAACAAAAATGGCAATTATCAAAGAAACTGGTCAGGAAGGTTTCTTCTCTATATAAAGCAAACAAGAGTGTTTTAACACTAATGAGCTCAAAGGCAAAGGGTCTCCTTCCAGCTAAACTCATCTAGTATTGTGCCCATCTCCCTCCTGGACTCTACCAAGCACAACCCTGGGCAAAGCACATAGTCGCACAATTAATGTCTGCTGTTGACAGGAAGGAGCACTTTTCAGCCTTCTTGGATGACCAAGCCAATATTTTTGACATTGTTTCTTGGATTGAGATGGCAGATGCCCCAAAACTTATGTCTACAGCTGTACTATGAGCCTCTTGGCAACCTTTACAAGACAAGATCTCTCATTCATTCATTCATTCATTCACAAAACAAATAAATAAAATCAGTCATCCATGGCACTTAAATCTATCCACATTTTTATACGTCCTTCCCATGCAAATGACCCAAGTTTAAAAACCTAGTAATCCCAACCTTGAGCCAGAGACCCAAGACAGCTAGCTTCTGCGGTCTCTTCGATCAGGCAAATTCATCTGCAGAGCAAAAGCCCTAGGTTGGGCAGACAGAGGGGCTTGGCTCATCTTACTAACCCATTTAAGATCTGATTCTATGTACCCACTTTTCATGATGAATAAAATCATTATGTACTGCAAACATGTACTGATAAAAATTAAAATTAGAAAAAAGATCTGATTCTAGCATGGTGAAGGGTGGGGAAGGCTTTTCTCTCTCTTTCTCTCTCTTCTTTCTTTCTTTCTTTTTCTTTTTTTCTTTTTTTTTCTTTTTTTGTGTTTTGAGACAGGGTCTTGCTATGTAGCTCAGGCTGGCCTTGAACTCACCGATGATTCACCTGTCTCAACCTCCCAAGTGCTAGGATTACAGACTTGTGCCACCAGACTCAGTGGCTTTTCTCATTAAGTCTCTCATGACTTTTAAAGCTTTAAACCAAGTTCCATTTCCCAAACACTTAGCTTTTCTACTTCCTCCTGCTTTTGCTCCATAAATCCCATCACCCCATGGTTATTACAGCTGTAGTTCTCTAGGGTTTCACCTGCTCTGGCTTCAGTGCAGCTGTAAGAAGGTGTTATTTACTTCAAAATAGCTTTGTAAACCTATGCACTGCAGAGGGTGACAGATACTCAGGGGAAGGGAGGAGAAACATGCCAGAGAGGGAAAGAACAGCAAAAAGAATTGGAGGTGAAACCTGAACTGAAAAGGTTGCCTTCATTTTAACCATGGGCTGCTAAATCTTTTCGGCTGCCACCCTTAACCTACCCCTGCTCCTGTGCCCAAATCCTTAGCCATGATCTCCACAACACAGAAGCTAAAGAAGTTACACATTTAGTCACTCTCATGATACAGAAATTAACGTCTACCGTGGCACACAAACCGTCAGTCTTGAGCATCCTGGTTCTTATTAATGATATACATTTGACTTAACCTGGTGAATCCAAATCACTAAAAGAGAAGCTTGGGATGTATATCTTTACCATGCTCTAGCCAATATCTAGCAGCAAGCTGGGGAGAAGCTGAGAGAATCATATGTTACAGTCAGAGCAACCCAGTAAATATTCCAATATGGGAACTTCTTAGCTGTCTAACTGGACTCTCAGTTTTCTCATCTGCAAAATAAGCATCACAGTGTCTACTCTGGAACATTATTAAAAGGATTTTAAAAGCCATTTAAAGGGAATAAGAATGGCTGTGACATACACTAGGTGTTTGTCCCTAAATGTTTTTTCCCCTTTAACCTGAAGACACTGGGAAATTACCAAAATCTTGAGCAGAGCAGATCCAGCAGATTATTGCTTTAGTTTCAACCCCTTGGCAACACCTGGGCAAAGAGTCACCAAGCCTCTTCTGTAACCCTGACAGTGACAAGAGATCAAATTTACTCATTCCGGAAGCAGTGTGTTTCATTTCAGACAGTTTTCATCATGAGCACTTTCTTCCTTACTTTAAGCTGAAATGTGCCTTGGGTGACAGAACAAATCTAATCCCTTTTCCACATGATAGGCTGAGGCAATTAACTTAAGGAAAGTAAGGGGGAGGATGTGACGAAGAGGGAAGCCCGTTCTGAATATGCTGCTTATTGGAATGCTGGGAGGGCAGCATTATATACGCACATGTCCAGCTAGCCTCTGATACGCAGGTCTAGAGTTCAGTATAGAAATCAGGACTGATTTACAATGGCACGCTCTTAAGTTGTAAAAATAAATGGCATTGCCATTTTGGGGGCAGAGCTAATAATGAAAGGTACTCAGGAATGGTCAGCAAGGAAGACAGGAAGCCTTTAAAGAAGAAAGCGGGTAACTTGTGGAAACACATGCAGTGAAGCGCTCAGACCAATGTCAGAGAACCAGCAAACCAATCGTTGCATTTGATGACCAAAGAGGTTACCACTGATCCCTGACCAAAAGTCCGGCCTCTGCTCCTCTGGAGCCTTCCAGGGTCACTGGGAACCACACCACAGTGCTTATCTCCCATTGGGCTACTGAAGAAGTAGAAGAAGCACGTAGAGACAACAACTCCAACATCTGGCCTCAATGTTAAGACAGATTTCTCCAAATAAGACTCCTAGACTCAAGTCTTTCAGGAAAACACTGCCCAGACAGTCCCTCTTGGATATTAATCACAGTAAAGAACCCCGTTGACCTGTTTAAGCTTGTATTTGCCCAATGACCAAAGAATTGATTTTTTTACACAACACTTACTAACATCTTGAGGAACTAGAGTTTCCTGGTACCGAATTTGGCACATGGAGTGAGCAAAGGAAGAGGAAGAAAATAATAGTCTAAGGGGCTCAGTACCAAGGGATTTTTTTTTCCTTTTAAGAATGGAAGAAACTTACATACGTTCACATGCAAAAGAAAAAGAACCAAGTATAATATAGGGTGAAAGGCTGCAAACAGGAATGGAAGGGAAGACAGCAACCCAGGTTCTATATGGGAGTTAGTCCAGCAAAGGACCTCAGCTCACTGCTATAGTCATAAAACCTTTCCCCTGACTGAGTCAAGTGATCACAAACAACTTCTATTCTAAACCACATCTACTTTCCTCAGAGGATACAGATGTCACCTAGACAAGGTTAAGTGTGGACCAATATATAAAAGGATTCACTAGAAACAGACTCATAGTCTCGGTTCTCCTCCCCAGAGTTGGGCTGACCGTATCGCTTGCCTGGGCCACAGAAGGTGTTCTAGATCGAGAGCCAACACCACACACCCTTTGCCCAGGCAGGGAAAGCTCTAGCATAGGATAGGCGGATCAGAGGAATCTAAAAATAAAGCTCTCTAAAGAAACTGTCTTGCCTAAAGAGCAGCTTCCCACGCACACTGGAGTGCCACATCTGCGGGGGCTGGAAGCACAGGAACGGAACAATCCTGACCAAGTCATGTAAGTATTACCCATTTGGGGGTGACAGCACATTTTACGTTCCCCCATCAGTGGCCTGGGGTCTAGGCTGCAGACCAGAAGCAAGGGCTTTATCTTATTTTTGTCGTTGTTGTCGTTTTGAGACAAGGTCTCACTATGTACTCCAGGCCGGCCTTGAACTCACTATGTAGCCCAGGCTAGACTTGAACTCATAGCAATCCTCCTGCTTCAGCCTCCCAAGTGCTGGGACTGCAGGCATGTGCTGCCACACCCAGCAGCAAGGGCTTTATTGCCAGTGAACAGGGTCTTCTTTTCTGGGAGGGAGACTCCAGCCTTCTGCTCCCCTCACAGCAGGAGGTGAGCTCAATAGATCCTCTCCAAGAACAAGGAGTAGAGTTGAGAGGTCACTTTAGAAAAGAGATCCAAGGGTTCTAGAGGGCTTCAGGCTCAGAGATGGCTCCCTCAGCTCTGCTCCCTGCAGTAGGGTCAAGGACTTACCTACCTACTAGGGAAGAAGAAAAGCAAGCTCCCAGAGAACTGCAATTAGCATTGACATCAGTTAGCTTTCATCATCTCACACCCCAAGGACGGAGGAGCAATCATCATGTTGCCAGGCAACTAGCAAATACAGTCTTCCCCACCCCCAGCAGGTATCAGAGTCCACCAGAAAAAGTCCAACCACAGAGTTGGAAACAACCCCACACCTAAGCATTAAAAACACCTAACTACTTCTGGCTCTGGAGTAATTCTACCACCACTTTGTCTAAGAGTTTTGACCTTAACAAGTTACAATGGACTTGCAACCAGAATGCTGGAATTCTGCCAAGAAGGCAGGGCATGAAGAAGGAAACTATTCCTAATTCTAAAAGGACTTCATAGCATTCCTTCAGTTCAACACCCCAAAAGGTTTGCACCTAACCTGACAGTACCATACTGCACCACAAGAGTCAGAAACTCCACTTCTGATCACATCATCAAAGTGCTTTCAGCAGCAATAGCTCAATTTTATGTATCTGTTCCCTTTACTCCTCCCTTCCTAGGGAGCACACGCTACCTCATCCCTCATTCACAGGCACAGCAGACCAATACAACCAGCATTGAAGTTGGGGGTGTGGAAACACAATGAAACACTCAGAATGCACCAACCTGTCAGTTCTTTGATCTCTCAAAAATGTACTGTACCAGAATGCAGTGATGACGTGCTCAGATACAAACCTTGATGTCGAATATACATATGTGGAGGGGGAAGGGGGTGGTGCCAAGATTTCCGCTCAGAGCACAGATTGCAAGCAAAGTACTGTACTTTGAACACTCAAGTGTTATTCGAATGCTGACTAGCAACAATCACCCAACAATCTTTACAATTAAAGCAAACTGAAATGTTCCCATAATGAGTCATTCATGAGCAAAAGGAAGAAGCCAGATCACAAAAGGAAAGAGATACTGACCATAAAATATACAACCTGAGCACACAGTGCAAAGTGTTATTTTAGTACTGGGAGTACACACTCCTTAGCCCACAAGTTAAACAAGGCAGGGTGGGCTGGTGCAGAGCTGCCTTCATCCAGCACTGGGCCTAGTGTTCAGAAGGGCAACTTACCTGACATATAAGGACCTCTTCTCACTTGTTCGGAGGGACCCAGACCCAGAACTCATGCTGCTGTTCATCATTTGTTCTCGCAAGTCATGTATCTTCGATTCAAAACGACTGTACTCTGTCAGGGATACAAGGAAAAAGACAACAACAACAAAAAAAGAATGAACACAAGGAGCTCGCCTGAGCCAACATGCCTGCAGCCAAAAAACCAGGAGGACACATATTCAAAGCAGCTAGAGCTGACCCAATCTTTTGCTTTGATAAAGCAGAGTCCCTCCTCCCAACATAGACAGAGTTCTCTCCACCCTCAACCATATAGAAGCAAAGAAAGCACACAGAAATGGAAGCAGCTCTTACTGCCTCAAAATCTCACTGATCCTTTAAAAAATAACACCTGGGGCTGGGGATTTAGCTCAGCAGCTCAGCACCTGCCTGGCAAGTGTGAGGTCCTGAGTTTGATCCCTGGTACCAAAAAAAAATTTTTTTTAATAAAAAATGACAACTGGGCACTGCCCCAGTGGAATGCTCAGACCAGCGGGCTGGTCCCCAACCAACTCCATAACAATGGATTCCACACCTTGGCTCAGCACCACCAACACAGAGCTCTGGCTCTACATTGTTTCCCCTCTGCATGGGACAGCAAAAGTGCCAGCCAAACAAGGGACCTGATCTTGGACAAGACAAAGTCTGGAATAGGGGATTCAATATAGCTGACAAGAGGAGTCATATCACAGAAGCTGAGGAAAGATCCACTGACAAGGAAGGATCTGGAAGATTCAACAGCAATTGGAACCTGCAAAGAAAACAACATAGGGCACTGCTCCCAGAGTGGCCTGTCCATAATAAACAGTTGGTGAGAAGGCTCGAGGAAGTCCTGAAGGGCTGGAGCTGGTGAACATGAACCCAGGTCCTGCAGTCGGAGGCCAGGTTCAGCCTGAGTTACACAGGACTGAAGCTCACATTGGTGCCCTGTCCCACTGTATGTGGAGGTCTACATCCAACACCGTTCTGGGGATGCACTGCCACCTTAGACTTCCAGCATGAGCAAAGTCATATCTTGGCTTGAGCTCTGCGCCTTATTCCTAGGCTGTGGAAAACAGCCATGTGTCCAAAACAATAGAAAACTAACTTTATTTGTTTGTTTATTTTTGCTGCTTTCTTCTTTCTATTCATCACACACACACACACACACACACACACACAACTTTTATTCCATTATTTGCCATGATATGAGTGTGTATGTGTTCTCTTTCTCTTGCCCTTTTCTTCCAATGTAGTTTATAGAGGGTAAGGGAATTCTTCCTTTTCCCTTTTTATTTCTTCCACTTTTATCCATATCTTTTCACTTGACTTCTTTTTCCTGTTTCTTATCCATCCTCTATTTTTAATTTTTTCTTCTTCCCCCTCTTCATCCATCTCCTTTTAACTTTTTCTCTAATATTTACATAAGCCATAGAATCATTTCTCATCTGCATTTCTTACTATGGATTCAATATCCATTTTTTCTGTTATCCCACCTAAATATATAACATACCTCTACCACCATTAGGATTCTTTGCCATTTCACTGTTGAATTCTACAAAACCTTTAACAATGTTATATCACCAATGCTCCTCAAGCTCTTCAAAGAAATGGAAAGGAATGTAGTGGCCCCAAACTTATTTACAGAAGCCAGTATCACCCTGACTCTAAAACTGGATAAATATCCAACTAACAAGGAGAACTATAAGCCAATCTCCTTAATAAATAGATGAAAACATCCTCAACAAGATATTAGCAAATAGAATGTAGTATATTATAAAAAAGATGATATGTCATGATCAAGTAGGTTTCATCCCAAGATGTAAGGATGGTTCAACATACATAAGTCAATAAATATATCACATAAACAGCAGCAGGGTCAAAAACTGTGATGATATCAATAGACACAGAAAAGGCTTTTAACAAAATCCAACACTCCTTCATGATAAAACCCTGGAGAAAACAGGTTTAAAAGGACCACACCTGAATATGATAAAGGCTATGTATGACAAACCAATAGCCAACATCGTATTAATTGGGGAAAATCTAAAAGAATTCCTTCTAAAATCAGAAACAAGACAAGGCTGTCCACTATCACCTCTTCTGTTGAACATAGTACTTGAAACATTAGCCAGAGCAATTAGGTAAGAGAAAGGAATAAAAGGGATACATACATATAGGAAAGGAAGAAATCAAATTATCACTATTTAAAGATGACATGATACTCTACATAGAAGACCCAAAGGACTCCACCAAAAACTCTTAGAATTAATAAGCAACTTAAGCAATATGGCAGGATACAAGATCAACACACAAAATCATTAGCATCTGTGTTCACCAATAAGGAACAGGAAGAGAAGGATATTATGAAAATAATATCATTCACAGTAGCTTCAAGACAAATGAAATACCTAGGAAATGAAAGCCCTCCATAAAGAAAACTGCAGTAATCTGAAGGAGATTGAAGAGGACAACAGAAAATGGAAAGATGTCCCTTGTTCCTGGATAGGCAGAACCAATATTGTCAAAATGACTATACTTCCAAAACCATTATATAGGGCCGGGGATTTAGCTCAGTGGTGCTGTACTTGCCTCACAAGCACAAGGTCCTGAGTTCGTTCCCTGGTACTGGAAAAAAAAAACCCAAAACCTTTTATACAGTCAATATAGTCCCAATCAAAATACCAACAGCATATTTTACAAATCTAGAGAAAATAATCCTAAAATTCATATGGATCTAGAAGAGACCCAGAATAGCAAAAGCAATTTTGGCCAATGAGCACAAAGCAGGAAGCATAGCAATACCTGACTTCAAGCTATACTACAAAGTGATAGTGATAAAAACAGTATCGTCTCAGAACAAAATAGAAACATGGATCAACAGAACAGAATTGAGGATAGGGGAGGATGGAGGGGGTGAAGGGAAGGCAGGGGTATGGTGAAAAACTGAGAACCAAGATCTGTTATGTAAAGGTACAAGATCCCAATGATGAATATAACTGTACTGTGTACTTTAAAAGTACCAATAAACAAAATATATTGAAGTTGTGGATATTAAAAAAAAAAACAAAACTGAGGATATAGAAACATCTCCAGAAATATTCAACTATTTGATCTTTGACAAAAGGGACAAAAGCATATATTAGAAGAAAACCTATTCAACAAGCAGTATTGGGAAAAGTGGTTATCTGTAAAAGATTGAAACTAGCTCCTTATCTCTCACCACATACTAAATTAAAATCAAAATGGATCAAAGATCTAATCATTAAAACAGAAACATTAAGCTTACCATAAGATAAAATAGAAGACATAGGTGTAGGAAAGAATTTTCTAAACAGGACCTCTATTGCTCAAGAAATAGCAGCAAGAATCAGCAAATGGGATTATATAAAACTAAAAAGATTCTGTATAGCAAAAGAATTTATCAGTTGGTGAAGATAAAACCAACAGAATGGAAAAAAAATTGCCAGCTACTCCTCAGAAGACTAAAATCAAGACTACACAGAACTCAAAAAAATTAAACCACCTAAAATTAAAGACCCAGTCAAGAAATAAGAGAAATGAACAGATATTTCACACTGGAAGAAATACACATAAGCAATAAATATATGAAAAAATGTTCAATATCTCTGACCATTAGAGAAATGCAAATCAAATCAACAGTAAGATTCCATCTTACTCTGGAAAGAATGGCAATCATTAGGAAATCAATCGATAATAAATGCTGGTGTGGATGTGTGAAAAAAGGAACCTTCCCACCTTCTTGTTGGTGAGAATACCACTAGTACAACCATTATGGAATTCAGTATGGAGATTTCTTAAAGAACTGAAGTTAGAAATTCCATATAATATGGCGATCCTCCTGCTAGGTATCTTCACCAAAGAGCTTAATACATACTACAGCAATGCATGCATACCAATGTTTATAGCAGCACAATTTATAATAGGTAAATCCTGGAAGCAGCCTGTATATCCATCAACAGATGATTGGATAAAGAAATGCGGTATCAGGCCGGGGATTTAGCTCAGTGGTTGGTCACCTGCCTCTCAAGGACAAGGTCCCAAGTTGTATCCCCAGTACCGAAAAACAAAGCAAAACAAAACAAATGCGGTTATCTATATATAATGGACTATTACTTGGTTATACAGAATGACAAATTTGAGACATTTGTAGGAAAATGGATGCACCTGGAAAATACAATGTTAAAGGAAATAAACCAGACACACAGACATACACAATTTAAATACTGTATGGTATCTCTCATTTGAGTGAGGCAAAGTACAAATAAAGAAAAAACAAAGGATAGATTAAAAGGCACAAGGGGATGGATCTCTTGCAATAGGAAATGGTCAAAGGGAATAAGGGTGATAGGTGAGGAGGAGGAGAAACAAGAACAATAAAAATATGCCATGTACAGGTCCTAATGACTCCAATTAATGTGAACATTATATGCCCTAACATAAGCTCAGACAAATAACATCAACAGGAATGAAAAACAGGATAGAGAAAATGAGGAGGGAGGGGAAGGGGGGAAAAAAGAAAGAAATATGCTGTAATATGTACATGTAATTCCCCAAGATGAATGTAAATTACATGAACTCCAAACATGTACAAACAAAATAAAATTTAAAAACAACAACTGGAAAGAGGTTCCAGTGCATACTTTATACATCTTTAGAGCAGGTACTAAGGCCCAAGGAGAGCAGATGGATGTGAAGACTTTCCCAAAAAACAGAGTGCAAAGGACAGACGGCTCTTAGATGCAGGGCAGAGGGGTGGGGGTGGGGGGTGCTGGAAAGGACCTGAGGTGGTTATGTCACTGTTAGGAGAGGAGGGCAATTTTTTCAGGGATGACTTTTTGGGGGATGAGGGGGTGGTACTGGAACTCAGTATGAAAGTTGAGAACAAACCTCCCAACCATATGGGCAGAATTATAGCTAATGATCTCCTGAGTTATTTTCCTAACAATAGCTTCTTTAGTTTTGGTAACAAACATTACAACATAAATTCTTCCAAACCTAGAAGTCTGCTGATACCTCTTACCTCCCAAATCTTCTAGTCAGTGAAGCCATTAATCCATACCCAGACTGTGGCCC